GCGAAATGCTCATTTGCTTTAGCTCCGTGTAGCAATACTCGACTGGTGGTGGAGACGGTATTAAATCAATCACATTCGACTGAATCAAATACTGGATCAAGTCATTCTTGTCAACTGGATGGTACTTGCTCACGTCTGACGCTACATCCTCTCGCTTCAACAATTCCTTGAGTTCGCGAATGCTCAAGCGGTCGAGTTCATGTCGGGCAAACCGCGGCTTGCGACTACGCATGCGTTCCAGTCGACCCTGCTCATATTGAGGACAATCAGTCGGTAGCTCGTACCGGCAGACTGGGCAAGTGTTATGCTTGGTGAGCCACTGCTTGGCGCAGTCGGGATGCAAAATATGCGCGCAGGGTAGTCGCAGGACTTTGGAGTGCAACTCGTTCTCCGCCAAGCAAATGCAGCACTCGCGATTCACAGGCTCGATCAAATCGTGCGAGGTGACGGAAATGATTGGCAGCTGCTGCAAGGCGCGGGCCGACGTTGGAGGCGACCCCGTTGGTTGCTCCTGCATCATGCTGGCAGCCATGGCGGCGTTCATGAAATTGGGTGGGACTGGTATACCAGCAGGCATTGCTGGCATGCCTCCCATGGGGCCGCCGAAAATGGTTGCCATAATGTAATCGGGACTCATAAAGACAAAGACGGGAACAGCATTCGGTTCAGCATCCGCATTAGCCGTTACATTAACGTCTGGCGCAATCGCTCCGTTGTTATTCGCGCCGGAGTTGTTATCGTCTCCGCCAGCCGCACCAGGAGGTGCCTGTGCCTGCGCTCGCTGCTGAAATAGTTCGCGAAAGAAGTTCTCCATATGGGAAATTTTACGTTTGAGACACGGGTTGCGCGAGGGATTAGCGATGGGAGTCGCAGGAATGTGCGTCTCGTTTACAGTTAGCGGCGGAGACGGAGTCTTAAATGATCCCTTCTCCCATGGTCGTTGACTCGCTCGCTCGCTCATGCATCAGACGTGTTCTTCAATGTCGTTGCGTCACTGAGTACTTTCTAGCCAAGTGTCACAAAGATGACGCCAATGACGTCAGAAGCAAGTTCGACGTGGAACCTGACATCACCGCTGCGAGCAAACTGCTGTCGTAGTTCTTCCATAGCTTAACCGATCGCATGCCGAGGAGGTGCTGTACTTGAACGATACGAAACGGTCTGTTTCCGTCACGAATCGTCCATTGAGAAACAAAGACAGATAAAACGCATCCCTCGTTTGCGCGGCAGCAGGTTGTAGCCGGGAAGAATCGTCACACGATGTTTGCGCTAGATATAATAACCATTGCCCTCGAACTTGTTTGCTCTCATGGCGCATCGCAATCTAGTTGCCACGAGCAATGACCTAGTCGAGCAAACAAGCAATGTCATTGCTAGCAACGTTACTCATGCTCAGGAGCCTCGCCCAGCCATGGTGCGAAAGGAACCGCGACGACCAATATTCAAAATGAATCAAGTCTTTCGCATTTTGAACACCATGTTGCTAGCGGGAACAATTGTCGTTCTCTTCTCCTTCTCGCGATATATGGAGCGTTCCTTACCACGAGAATTACTCGTGAAGGAAGCTTCGATGAGACTGCGCCAAAGGACGTTTCCGCGCATTATGCTTTGCAGGCTGGATGACCGGAATCACTCGGCCCCTGCAGCAATCTCGGGCCATCTTCAATGCCAGCCGATACTTTACTCCGTCGCTTCTTTAAGGGAAACGCAGTATGAACATCCTGAAGAATCGTTGTACCCCATCAAGCCTCCGCGTACAGTCTCTTCGCTTGCTTCCGAGCATGATCCAACGCGATTCTATTCAGATTCGAAGGAGCGTCGACTATATCCGAAGCATGAGTACGATCCGCACTGCGAACCGATTGATCCGAGCTGGCAAAGCACTTTTTATCCCGTCTGTAACAACATCCACGCGCATAGTATGGTTGAAGAATTGCTGGACCAATCGCTGAGTGTCCTCTCGTCCAAGGGATTTTGGCGGCTCGCGTGGAAACAGCAAGAAAATCTTGTCGGCAGTGTTGGCAGCATACATGTTACCGTGTGGAAAACGTTGAAGTGAGTTTTCCAATAGAGTTTGTGGTTCAATTTTCCTGTGCGCATTTTATCTGACGCCGTCGTATCGCACCTTTCTTGCCTTGCAGAATCGAGCACAACTTTGACGAAGCCTACTACGAGCACAATCGAGTTGATGCGGTTGCTATGGAAACCTTGACGGCCTCACGTAATATTATCGACATTTACGCCATTTGCGGAACCTCTGTTGTGACCGAGTTTGCTGGCAAAAACTTCGAGACCCTCGTGAATCGACTGGACTCGATTCAACGATTAAAAATGGCTATTCAAGTCGCTCAAGGGGTCGCTGATGTGCATGGCATTACGTCGAATATGCCCAGTCTTGTTCACAATGACTTGAATCCCGCAAACCTTGTCCTTACACAAGATAATCGCGCCGTTTTGAATGACTTTAATATCGCAGTCTTGCTCATGAAACACAATGAGACTAATGAACCATGTCCATTTCTAAGCCGTTTTCCGAATCCACGATGGCGGGCACCAGAGGAGCAAGTTGCAAGCGAGGATGAATCAACGCATAATCCGCCTCGTGGGACGGAAAAGGTTGATATTTATGCGTTGGGCAATATTTTTTATCGTCTTGCCATTGGTTCCACTCCTTGGAAGGTACCGCATACTCATAAAGTAACGCCAAAACAAAAGGCTATCATCGTTCACTTGAAGCGATCAACTGGAGCACTTCCTCCTATTCCCCATTGTATCGAAGAATATCCAGACCCGGCGGTACACGTTTTGCTGGAAGCCATGCGTCGAGCATATCGCCATCAGCCAGCGAACAGACCAAGTGCCAAGTCGCTTGTCCAATTTTTGACTAGTTCTTTGAAGGAAATTCGAGCTATGAACCTGACCGGACATGAATTGTTGTGGGACGGAGTCAGGTCATCGCGCAAGAGAAATGTTGCCATGTTAAGTGTAAATTCAACGGAGCATGTAGCCCAACTATTTATTGGAAACGCAAATTGCAGCGTGGATAGCACTGGAAAACCGACTTCATTAAAAACGTTGATGAAGTATTAAGCATCAGCGACTCAATTCGTCCGTGGTTTATATGTTTATAATGGCCATAGCGCCCACCGCAGATATGTTACGTCAACTCTAGTTCGTTCTCGTAGCTTGGCACTCTCCGACGCCCTAGAAATTGTTGCTTTTGCACCGCACGTCGACGAATCAAGCAGCTGACCAATAGCGTAGCAACAATGCCTCCGATGAACGCTGAAGCTGTAAGATATATCTCTGATGCTGCGATGTCGTCATAGACGCATACTGATGTTGCGGAGACTGGCAATGTCTTGTTCGAGTCGGCATCATTTGACGAGACGGTTGGAGAAGCTCCATTCTCAATTAAGTCATCGCAACCAAGTGCAATCGCCGCCACAGCCGTGGATACACTTTCCGAAAAGACCGCTTGCGCTCCGCACATGCAATACAAATGCTTGGTCTCATCCAATATGCTGTCAAATCCATTCGCCAAGTAGATTGTTTCTGGTCGCTCCGTCCACGGATGCAGCACCATGTCAAACTCTCTCGCCTTCTCCAAAAAGACTTGTCGCGTTTGGTCGTCGAGCATGCACCGCTTGTCGGGTCCCAAACCATCCACGTAGCCGCGCCAGTGTTCGCCCAATTGGAACCAAAAGTCATCCGCCCAGCAGTCGGGTGCCGAAACAAGCAATATGGATGGTGGCATCGGATAGTCGTAGGTTGCTGTTAGCGTATCTGCCCACTGATCATGGAGTCGTTCCAAGGCGTTTGGATCAAACGATTGAACAATGAAACCAGGTACTTTGTATTCATCGTACTTGAAGCCAGTTTGGCACTTTAGCAGTGGATCCCATGACTCCTGGTTGGTTTGCACATGATCAAGTAGCAGCTGCACCAAGTCAATGTTCGCCTCCTCTTTTAGCCAAACACTATCCTTGAGCTCGGCGTACAAGCCCGCCTGCGCGAGTTTTACTCGACGAAGATTCGACGCGTCGACTTTTGCATCTTTGGTAGCACTTGCTGTTACAACAAGTTGCGATAGTGTATTGCTATTGTAAACATTCAGCAACTCCAAAATATCGTTGAGCATTGGTATTTGGAACATGCCGTCGTACATGCTGGTCCTTGCACTTGGCAGTCGCTGCTTGACCCGCAACTGGCGAATCTCGTCCGCCGTAAAGTTGAAGGCCCAGTAGCTGGATCGATTGGCAAAGGGACTAAACCATGGCTCGCGTGAATCACCAAACACTTCAAAGACATTGGAAGTAATGTTTAGATCCGAAGTATGCATTGCCATGAGTTGATTGTCGCTTGTGGATACTAGGTCGGGTTCAATAAAGTCTGCGCCAAGCTCAAGGGCCAACTGGTAGGCTGCCAGCGTGTGTTCCGGTAAATGAGCGGATGCTCCGCGATGTGCAATGACAAAGTGTTGCTTCAGACTTTTCGATGGCACCTTTAGTGAATGGCCAAAGCAATGATTGTTGTTGCTGTTGCTGGCATTGGAGGGATCTGCGACTCGGGCGTGAATGCTGAGGCGTAGCAACGAGATAAGCATAAGAAATGACTGTAATACATCTTGCCTAACTATCCTGTGGCTTCTTTGTACAGACATACTGCCGTGGTGTTGCGGAATGGAAAAATATATTTTGAATGAAGTGCCGATCTTGGTGGTCATCTCGGTCGCAATAATTGATCCAACCGAATGAAAATGTCGTCCGTCTTTCCGGTACTGATCTAAAATCAGCGAGCCACTGCACCGTAGCTACGTAGTCCGTATCATATCACTGCCTAGACCTTGCACATATTGACACACTAGCAACGTAATAATGAGGACATCCTGCCTCATCTTTAAATGTTCACAAAGTCCTTAATTTAATGTCAGAGGATGATGGTAGTTGAAAATAAAACTGCTAGGTTCTTATTTCAATTTCCCTCATCTTCATTCTAAAGTCCGCTTGGTCTAGTGGTATGATACCTCGTTCGGGTCGAGGTGGTCTGGGGTTCGATTCCCCAAGCGGACCTTTTGCCCCCTGAAACAATCCTAACCAGGGTGAAATCACTTTTGCTATGTATAAAAAAGAATCGGAGTTCCCAGGGAACTTGGGCGTGTTTGCTGGCTGTCTCAATGCATGCTGTCGAGGTGCCCGAGGAGCATCCAGGGGACTACATCTTACATGTCCAGAAGAACACGTACATACAGGGATAAGACTCAGGCAGAACCTAGAATGTTAGCACCTTGGTGCTGTTTCCGACTTTTTTGGCTTCTCTGAAAGCAATATTTTTGAACCACGTTTCGAACGGGAAATGGTGAGAAATCCCGTGCTCGATTCCCCGAGCGGACCGGTCGTTTTGCCTTCTGAAGGCTACGGTAGGTAGCTTTTTTGGTCCAGTCGGTGCGATGGCTGAAGTGCGAAAGGGGAGCAGACATGTTTGCCAGTTTTGAAAGCTTTTGTGGCGGTTGGTGGCATGAATCAATTGGCACGCTTTAGCCAGCAACACACAGACGATAAAGTTTATAAATAACTGCATCAATAGCAGGGATTTAAAGTAGAACTGCTAGCTAAATGTTGCCGGAAACAATCATTGCATTCCCGCTTTGATCATCGCCTCGCTTTCTTCATGAATGGCGCGGACAAAGACATCGACAAGATCCGTACTTTCCTTTCCGCCCAAACCTTCTCCGAGGTTGGCAATCAATCGCTGCGGTCCTAGATCTTCAAGATATTGCTTTGCAGTGTTGCGAACGGTTTCGGCTGTCTTGCCATTTTCGGCAATGAGCTCCGCTGGATCATAGCTGCCCTGCAACGATACATTGGAACCTACGACACTTCTGGCTGTCGTACGATCGACAGAGCCATCCATGGTTATAACGTTATAGCATCCAAGAGCGGCGACCTTGTCGTTCATTTGACAAGCGCCACGGCAAAACACCATGAGTGGAATGTTAGGATGACGCTCCTTGAGCTGCGTGCCAATGGATTCAAGGCATGGCAGGGCAAACTTTTCAAAGTTTGCATCATCAATCATCATGCCCATGGCCTCAAAGATTTGAAGCATGTGGCAGCCTGCTTCGACTTGTGCCGATAGATATTCGACAACCAAGAGAGTGAGTTTGTCGAGCAATTTCTTAGACTCTTCCGGATGTTCTGTCAACCACTTGGTTCCAATATCGTTATTCTTCTTTGATGACCCACCAATCATGTAGTAAAGCAAGGTGTAAGGTGCTGCAGAGAATCCAATGAGTGGAACACTAATTGCCTCGGCCTTCATATGCGATCGAATCTGTCGAACCGCCGCCAAAACGTGACCAAGATTGTCTCTGACCCAAGCTGGCGTAATTTGCGACTTCTCTACCAATCGCGTTTCAATTTCGGATGGACTCTGGAGAGGCTCTGGGACTTGTATGCCAACTCCGCCCGGCATGGTTACCGGAATGCCCAAGGCTTCGACCAGGACGAGAATGTCGCTAAACAATATGGCAGCATCCAATGGATACCTTCGAACAGGTTGCAGTGTACATTCAGCCACAGCCATGGGATCGGCGAGTAGCTCCAAAAAGTTCTTTCCAAGTTGCTTCTTGTAGTCTTGATACTCTGGTAAGTGTCTACCAGCTTGTCGAAACAGCCAAACGGGCGTTCGCTCCACCGTTTCGCCCATTGCCGCTCGAATCATCAAATCATTGACGGGCCGGTCAGAGGAAGGGTTTGTATCATCCTTGGATTCTGGCGAGTCTGAAGTCACAATGTGACCAAGGATAATTTGTCGAGTCAGCTCGAGATCTTCCTCTGCATTCTTGGCAGCCATGTTGTGACGAGCATAAATCGTTGATTGACGAAGAGGCGAAGTGAAACTTGACACCGAAATCGTTAGGATGATGAAAAGCGTCAATATGCAGACATGATATGAAAGAAGTCGAGAAGATGCTCCCGATATTCGAATGACTGTCATGGCCGGACGTTAACGTAGTCTTATGGAGAAGGAGAGACGAGCAGCTTTCGTGGTCGTCGTTCGGTTGATGTTGTGACGGTCGAGGATCGCGGCGCGGCTTGCGCTTCTCTCATGAACCGCTAAGACATTTATTGCGTCCGAACGGCACTGCCGACGCCCTCCAGTTGGCGAGGCTCCGTTTCAATCACAATTCCGAACGACCACGACGACAAGCAGCCTTCTCCCTACTACCAACGCCGCCATGCTAATCTTTCAGAACTTTGACGAGCCACAGAAAGACCATGACACTGAATGTCGCGTCTGTTTGGAGGCGGTTGCTTCAGGCACGAGCGGACGAACGCGGCCATGCGGTCACAATGATTTCCATCACGAGTGTTTCCTCCAGTGGAAGGCTGCCTGCGTCGGACAATGCCGATGCCCTCGCTGCAATCAACCAGTCATCGAGTACATGAATCCGGATGGAAGTCTTGTTTGCATGAAACAGCCATTCTTGGAACGATTTTTGATGTCGCCATTTATGTTCGTCGCAGTCTCGCAATTTGTGGCTTTTCTGACCAATGAAGAACTACTCAAGGATGGCGCGAATCCGAACGATGCCGACCAAATATTTTCATATTTTCTTGCTTATTTTCTCTACATTGCGCGTCAGATTTTGTTGCTCATGGCTATACTCGAAGCGCTCATGTACTGGGAACGCCTACAAATGCCAACCGTGATGCTGGCTCTCATTTTCGTAATGGTTTACGTTTTGCACTGATGGGTAAGAGCAGCAATCTGCGCTAGATATGAAACTGCATGAGATATATAATTATAGTTACGCATAACGAATAAATTGAAAAATTTGAAAGTCAATTCGCTAGCCTGCTCGCCGCTCGTCGAGAGCGTAACAAGTTGTGAATCCCTTCTTCGTCGCATTTTATAGCATTTATCGAATACTTTGGCCTGCACCCAATTAGTTCCCGACAAATGATTTGTCGGAATGACCGAAATGTAGACGTTGAATCAGACTGCAATGCTGGAGGCCGTTAAATCGGCTATTCATGTCCATAAACTTGTTTGACGTCAAGTCAAAAGGTGATAAGCAGTATTTGGTCAGTTTCTCTTACCTATCCTTTTTCAAGCCTGCTGTGAAGTGGCTACTCGCAGCTAACTTCCTGATGCGCTTTTATGCAAAGGGCTAGCTAGCTGTCGCAGTGGCAGAAAGTGCGTCACGCATCAACCGCGATGGCTCTCGCGACCATGAACCATCACATTCTTTGAGATCCAAAAACGAGCAGCAACAACGGATCAAACACATTGCACCTTTGACTATGAAGACTAGCTGCATACTCTTGCTAACGCTAACGAGCTCACAGTTATTCGAGTCGTCGCTAGCCTTTGTCGTTTCGTCGTTAAAGAAACACCATGCAAACATAGCTCCAAATTCCATTGCATCTTCTTCGCCATCAACGACAACTTTGGCAGTCAGTATCGGCCTGGGCCCTAGCAAGGAGGAGGAACAGTCGCAAAGAGCAGGCGATGAGACTGAATTTGAATACGAGATTCCAAACCATGAGGAATATCGATTGTCCCGACGCACCAAGCTCGATCAAGCCTGCGACGAGTGGTACGAAGGACTTTTGCAAACACATGCTGCGGATGGCATTCTCAAGTCACTAGCCCAGCAGACACGGACAATCCTCGAAACTCCAGTGGAACTAGTCAATGATTTGGAGAAGGATACGGATGATGTCGAATGGACTCCCTACGTGACAACCAAGCTGCCTTGGACGCCGCTGGTGCCGTCGTTTGGCTTGGAGCAGTTTGGCATTCCAACGCCTCGACGAAACGCGGAAACATGGAGACAATTTGATGTACCAGGCATGATTGCGCAGGATTATTCGCAAATTGCTGAGCCAATAGAAATGTCAAGCGAGCGATGCCATTCTATTCAGCAAGACTTGTTGGCGCAGGGAGGATGGCTTGACGATGACGAATGCGCGGCTCGCCTCGTTTATGTCAATGGATACTACGTTGACGAGCTATCGAAACCTTCCGAGCATGTTTACAATATTCAAGACGAGTCACAAATTGCCGAAAGCCAAGAGCTGACAAAATACTTGGCGCGACTGACAGACGGCTTTACGGATGAGCTTGCTTGTCCCGTTGCCAATGGCGAATCCACCATTTCGTCCTTTGAGAAACTGAGCGGCCCAAACCACAATGTTGGCGCTCCAACCTCGCAATTTGCAATCAATACGCAGCAAGGAACAGCCTGCTTTGCTGCATTAAATACAATAAAGGCAAGAGCAGTTGCATTCGTTTCCGCACCAGCCGGTGCGCCACTGACGGAGGAGGAAAAAGCGACAGCTCCACTTCCCAAGCCAGTCTTGATCATTAATACAGTGACACCGTCATTGGGATTGGCGTCTAATGTAGACAATAGCATGGGAGCGAGTCTACATCCGCGGACATTGATCGTAGCTAATGAACACTCGCGTCTATCTGTTGTTCAATCTACAGTCGATTTAACAACAACTGGCAATGCGAACGATAGAAGTGACGGCAGCAACCCGAAGCTATATAATGGCTATACTCAAGTCTTTCTGAAGGCAGGAGCCAATGTGACTCACTCTTATCTAGAGGAATCTGGTGGTATGGTCACTGCAGGTGTCGAACTAAGTGACGATGAGCTATCCGATGAATCCGTCATTTCACCTCGCGTCGCGGAAGCTGACCGTTCGGCATTAAAGGATACTCATTTGGAAGCGATTGACGTACATTGCATGGGTCAAGATGCCGATTATCGAGGAACAGTCATGAGTGTTGGCGGGAGTGGCCGCGTGCGCATTGGCGTGTCGGCCACCTTGCTTCACTCGGGCACCAGGGCCGAGGTGAATGGATTCAGTCTATCGGGTGGTTCACAACGAACTGATATGAAGACAAACATTCATCACATTGCGCAAGCGACTGTCAGTCGGCAAACGCAAAAGAACATGGTTGGTGGTCGATCGACGGGTTCCTTTCGAGGACGTATTCGAGTTGAACAGAGCGCTCAGCAAACAGACAGTCAGCAACTGTCAAGGACGGTGCT